TGCCAAAGCCATTTTCTTAGGACCCACTTTTTCCTCATTAATTGCAATTCCTGACAGAATTTCAGGGACCGTGGGGTGCAGATTCCCCAAGGGCCCTGAAGGCATGCCCCTCACAAAAGGAGTTGGGTTTCCCCCAGGTTAAAACAGAATGGAAATTATTTCTCAGCAACCTGCAAAGGAAGCCTATAGCATTGGCAGCTCTCTCAGAAGGCACCACAAGGAATCCATGTGGGCCTAGGGACCTAAAAGACAAGTCAAAGACTCCTTCAATGGAACGTGCAAGGCACAAGAAACTTTTACATGTGGATTTTAGGTCAAGACTCAACATGACATTTCTCTTGGGAGAAAGTACTCAAGCAGCTCAATTACCAGCCCAGAAAGCAGGCTCTCAGTGTTTTATAGACCTTGCTAATGAATGAGTCCCATGGCCTCTGCTGGACTGGACTTCTCAGTCCTCTGCCAGCCTGCCTCCCACACCTCTGCACATTTGTCAAGCTGTAATGGATGGATGGCTGGTGCCAACAGAGGCTGAGGTCTAGGCCTTTCTGTCTGGGATACATAGAGATCTCAAGCCATTAGTAATTCAATCTGGATTAATGAACATAGCCATACCAATTTGTGAGTAGTAATAAGTGACAGATCAATTCATTATGTCACTGTATCAAAAGATATGCTAATCATAGAAAGTACAGCTTCCCCCTCCCCAAAGTTTCATAAAACTTAGATCAATGTGTTTTTAAGTTCTAAAATAAAATGGATCATTAAAAAGGAAATGAATTATGTTGGGTAGCCTCAAGCCTATTTATATTCAGACTTGCTTTTCCAGAATTACTGGCCTTTCCAAATGCCTTTGGGCATTGAGGCCTGCATATCTGAATAATTGTTCCTTATTAATTAAACCTGAGAAATGGAACACAGCTCCAGGCTTTGAAAGGGGAGGTTGGAGGTTGGGTTGAAATACATTCTCCCCAAAATCATTAATAATAATTTGAGGTTTTATGAGTAAGTAGCTGCCTTGAGAATAATTGTCTTATGTCTACTGAGAAACTTCCATCATCTTTTAACACCTCAGTGAACACTGTTGTGCTTCTCTTGGGCCTGGCAACATGTAATAAATACAGGATTGGAACAACACTTCTGCCTTCATTGAGGGGTGAAAGATTAAGGAAATACTAGACAGAGACTGCATCAACAAATAAAATAAAATAAAATAAAATAAAATACCTAGGAATACATTTAACCAAGGATGTAAAAGACCTGTACTCTGAAAATTATAAGACTTTGAAGGAAAAAAATGGAAGAAAATACAAATAACTGAAACATATGCCGCTTCCTGAATATGAGGAATTAACATCATTAACATGTCCATACCCAAAGTAATCTATTGAGTCAGTGCAATTCCTATCAGATATTAAAGGTGTATTTCACAGAATAGGACAAATATTCCAAAAATTTATATGGAACCACATAGCCACAGCAATCTTGAGAAAGAAGAACATAGTTGGAGGAATCATACTACCTGATATCAAACTATACTACAAGGCAATAGGAATAGAAATATCATGGTACTGACATAAAAATAAACATATGATCATTGGAACAGAGTAGAGAGTCTAGAAATAAGCCAATGCCTTTATCTTCGATTAGTATTTGACAAAGATGGCAAAAGCATATAATGGGTATAAAGATAACCTATTCAACAAGTGGTGTTGGGAAAATTGGGCAGATCCCTGCAAACAAAATGAAACAAGATCACCTTCTTGGACCATACACAAGAATACATTAACAATGGACTAAATATTTAAATCTTAGATTCAAAATTATAAAAATCCTAGAAGAAAACAAGGGCAGTAAAATCTTGGACATTTCTTGTAGCATTGTTTTTTGTTTGTTTTTTCTGATATATAGCCTTGGGAGAGAAACAAAAGTAAAAAAACAAATGGTACTATATCAAACAAAAGTTTTTATACAGCAAAGGAAACCATTAACAAAATGAAAAGACAACCTACTGAATGGGAGAACATATTTGCCAATGATACATCTGATAAATGTATCTAAAATTTATAAATAACTTATATAATTCAACACAAAAAATCCCGTAAACAATCCAGTTTAAAAATGGATAAAGAACCTGCAAAGCCACTTCTCCAAATATGACATACAGATGGCCATAGACATAGACATATGAAAAGATGCTTGATGTCAGTAAATATCAGAGAGATGCAAATAAGACCACGTGAGATATCACCTCACACCTGTTAGAAGGGTTGTCATCAGTACATTAACAAACAAATGCTGGCCCAGATGTGGAGAAAGGGGAACCTTTATGCACTACTGGTGGAAATATAGATTAGCACAGCTGCTAAGAAAAGCAGTGTGGAGTTACTTTAAAAAATTAAAAATTGTACTGCCTATGACCCAGCACTTCCACTTGGAAATATATTTGAAGAAACCTGAAACATGAATTTGAAAGAATATATGCTCACCTGTTTTCATTGCAGCATTATTTACAATAGTCCAAATGTCCATTATAAGATAAATAAACTGTGATACCTTTACACAATGGAATACTACTCGGCCATAAAAAAAAGAGAAGGGAACTTACCCTTTGTGACAGCATGGATAGACCTGGAGAGCATTATGCTAAGTGAAATAATGCCAGTCTGAGAAAGACAAGTATCCATGTGAATTCACTCATGTGGAATCAAATAAACAAAACAAACTAACAACCAAATAGAAGCAAACTTGTAGATAGGTAAGAGATTGAAAGCTGTCAGAGGGAAGAGGAGTTGTGGTGCCAGATGAAAAAGATGAAGGCATTAAACCAAATCGAAAAAACCCAACCCATGGTCACAAACAACAATATGGTGATTACCAGAGGGAAATGGGATTGAGAGGTGGTAAAAGAGGGTATGCGGAGATAAATGGTGATGGAAGGAGTCTTGACTTTGGGTGGTGAAGAATGATCATCATCCAAACCATGTATTTTTATATTTGTCTGCAATTTAAAAGTGCCTTTATACATATATAACTTATTGATTCATTTGCACAAAGAACTTTTGTGACAAGAGGGGTAAGTCTATTGACTTAACTCATTTGGGAGGGGAACTATAAGGGCATGGAATTCACTTCTGCACACAGGAGCTGATATTGAAAGCAATGGTGGTTACTGCGGCTTTTAAATATGCATACTTGCTGATGAACTAAGGAACAGAAGCAAAGTCTTTTTCCCCCTTGCCAGGTAAAAACTTGACCATCTGCATTAAGGCTTTCAGACTAGAAATGTGATACAGTTCTGGGTAGAACTGAAAACTCCAGGAATACAAAGAATGTTTGTCAAATATTCTTATGTGGACCAGGATATGATTGGCAGATCTTCTTGCTGCAGGTGTTGCTTAGCAATCAAAAAGCAGATTGTATTTCTAATTGAGTTGTTCATAGACTTGACCCCTCCCCCTCATGACCCTTTCAGAGGTGGAAGTTTTTAGGAAATTACTTTCAGCCCTAGAAAAGTATAGCAAAGTACACATCTGCTGATAAAATTGGTTAAGATACTATTTCAGTAAAGGCTCAGTTTCAAAACCAACACTTAGGTCAGTAGAACATTTTTTTTCTCTCTCACAAAGTAGAAGTATACAAGCGAAACAGTGCTGGCATTTACAGAATTGTGTTAAAAAAGCACTCACTATAAATAGCCCTGAATGCTAGGGAGGTTTGTCTGTGCAAACTGACTTCTCTGCCCAATTTCCCTCTAGTTTCTCATAATGAATAGTTTCCTTCTTCTAACAGGTGATTTAGAGAAGCCCCTAGTACGTTCTTAACAATACTGAATGGCTTTAACTTTTGACTTACTTGTGGTTAATAGGTAATTTTTATATTTTTATACTCAAGGCTAGCAAATGGACAATTAAGTTTTATGGCTAGGTAATGGTGGCCTAGTTGTGGAGTTCAGATATATGTTTTGTGTAGCTGCTTATCCAAAAACTAGTAGCCCTCGCACAAATCCATGCGCCAGTAGCTCTCCTTAGGGCCTGGCTGCTCCATGCCCGCTGCCCAGAGGCTTTCCGTGGCCCAGAGGCCCATCTGCAGCGGGCGCGGAACGCTTGCCTCTTGGCCAGGGTGACAAAGCAGACATTCTGCCAGGCCACTCACGCTGCCTGCTCTCAGCAGCCATCCCCCATCAACACCCCAGGGACTGGGGGACTCCAGCAGGCCTGAGAGTACTGGGTGCTGCCATCTTGTGGTTATGGGTGCTGCCATCTTTATGATGGAGTGATGGTTAATTTGGATATTCATATGTGTTTAGCAAATTACTTGGACCCAGCTACTGTTGACACTGTGTATTCCTTATCCTTTGAGTATAAATGACAATATAAACACAGCCATATATATAGATCTACAGTAGGGTTTTTTATTCTGTTTGTGCCACATGTTTCATTTAATATAAGCCACATTTTTTCATGTGATGGGGCTTTGATACTCTGAGCCTAAAGTGCTTAATTTTCTGTCTTCCTTTTGAGTATCCAGAGCTACCCATTTTGAAAATTATAGGTCTATTTTGTGCCTATGTTTGCAAATGTATTGAAGCCAAGAGTTTTTATATTTCAGCTACAGAAAATGCTACTGATCACAGAGGTTTAAGAAGCATCCAAGTATAGAAATTGTAACTGAGCAGGTACATGGATTTGCAGAACAGGGATTCAGATGTACAAAGGTTCATATTTTGGAAGGCAGCTGCTTTGGTCAGTTAGTTGTTTAGGCAAAATGGAAATGATAATATGAAATAGCTAAATAGCGTGGAAACTGAAGATTTCTGAAGTTCTGATAGATGAAACTATGAGTAGAAAAGTCTGTCTTTGAATTCCAAGGATATTGGAAGGTACCCCAAAATCTGATTTCTTCTAGATGAGAAGTTGAAAAATAGGAAAGATAGAGGGAAGTCAGCTGTTTATTTGTATACTATTTCTCTCATCTGTGCCTTGTCTTTTCCTTTTTCCCAGTGTTGCTAACAACCACAAGCAAAATTTGATGACAGTGGCGAACCTTGGCGTGGTGTTTGGACCCACCCTGCTTAGGCCTCAGGAAGAAACAGTAGCCGCCATCATGGATATCAAATTTCAGAACATTGTTATTGAGATCCTGATCGAAAACCATGATAAGGTAATATAAGTATAATTGGGCACTGAAGAATTTGCCTTGGGGGTGGCTGAGTTGGAACTGGCATTCAGAGTTGACTGGTGTTCACATTGCTAATGAGAACTGTGATGATGATGAAGTAGCTGTGACAACACCAGTAGTTATGATGGGACAGCATTTATTCTATAGTGGGAACTATGCTAAGTCCTTTACATATGTTGCCTTTTTATCCTCATAACAATCCAATGAAGAAGGTGCTAGTCTAAGTTTCATTTTGAAGATTTCCTTTCCCCATCTTGGTTGTCCTCAAATGAATTTATAATAGTTAATATTAGGGACATTAAACTATTTTCATTTGTGTTGCAAATATTTTTTCTAATCTGAAGTTTGCCTTTCAGTTATATAAGTGGTGTATTCTTTCTGTGTGTATGTGTTTGCATGCCTGTGTGTGTGTGTGTGTTTGCATGTGTGTGTGTGGTCTATTTTTTCCTTTAGGACATTTTGTTTTTTCTTAAGAAGGCCTCCCTCACTCCACATATTGACGTATGTTAACACAGAGATGTCCTCATAACACTGAGGTAGGGGCAGGATGCTTCACTCATCTGTTCCACCCCAGCTCCACATGGCAGATCTCTAGGAAGCTTCTCAGAAGCTGCAGGGTCCCCTGGAGCACCATTTGACAGCCACAGCTCTGGTGTCAAATAAAAAATGTGCTCCTTCTAAGTAAACCTTTACCTAGAATGGTGAATTAATTTTGCTAGATAATGCCAAATAATCAAGACCACTTACCACACCTACACTAATAACACTCTATTGTTAGCTAACATCCTCTCTTGTCTGGATTTTTATTAGAGTTTCTTGTTTGCTTCCCTGCTCCCACTGTTGGCTTGTCTATTCTGATATCAGTCACCAGAGTGAGATTTGTTGAAATTTAAATCAAATCAAATCAAATCAGTTGTCTGCTAAGAACCTTTCAGGGGCTTTCCATGTCACTGAGTGAAAGCTAGAGCCCTTTCAAGAGTCTGGAAGGTCCCACATGGTCTCTACTTTCCCCTCTGTTACTGTCTCATCTCATTTCCTACCCGGGCCGCCTTGCTGTTCCCCACACCCGGCACCCCCTCCTCCCTCAAGGCCTTTGCAGTTGCTGTTTCCAGGCCTGAAATACTCTTCCTTCATCTAACTACACGGCTTGTCTCCTCACCTCTTCCAAGCCTTCTAAGTGAGTCCCATTTATATTTCCTCATTTAAAATTGCAAGCGGTCTCAGCTTCATCCACTTCCCCTCCCCTTGATCCTGATTTCTCTTTCTCCATAGCACTTACCACTTCCTAGCATTCTATATAATTTACTTACAGATCTGATCTTGTTGCCTTTGCGACCTCCACGAGAATGTATGCTTCACAAAAGCAGAGACTGTTGTCAGTTTTATTCACTGCTTGGTTCTTAGGTTCTCAGTAGGCACCCAGCACATATACTGTGAATGGACTCTTGTGGTAGTTGGCCTCTAAATGCTTCTCAGGGACCCTTGTCTCCTGATATTCACTCCATTGTGTAGTTCCCTCCAAGGGGAATAAGAGATTCCAATATTAATCCCAGTGTGATCAACAGGAATAGTGATCCCAATGTGATCGGTAGGGTTTTGCAAAAGTAATGGATTGTGACTTTGGAGACCACTCATAAAAGATCTTATAACATTTGTCTTGGTTTCTGGACGGGCTCATTGAGCGGGAAGCAAGCTGCCGTGTTATAAAGGCAGTCCCACAGCCCTGTGGGGAGGAAGCCAGCTTCCTGCCAGCAACCAGACCAACTTGCCAGACACGTGAGTGAGCTGCTTCAGAAGTGAATGCTGCAGCCCTGATCAAGCCTTCAGATGATGCAGCCCTGGCTGATATCTTCAGGGCAACCTCGTTAGAGACCCTGAGTCAGAATCACCGTGCTAAGCCTCTCCTGAGTTCCCAACCCACAGAAGCAGGGATGAGTATGTTTTTAGTCACTAAGTTTTGGTCATAAGTTGTTACAGAGCATTAATAACTACTAAAGGACCTCTGAGTATAAACGTTCACAAGTAGCAGGGGTATTTGGCTAGGTTGTGTAAGTATCATGGCTTCCCTCTCCCAAGGTTAATAAAGAGATATAGAAATCAAATTATTTTTTGAAGAGATTATCTTCTTTTTAATACAAACTTTGGGCCTCCTTCCAACCACCTTCTTCAAATATAGTACATCAGGTATGGGAGAAGTTTGTTATGTCTGATAAAAATGAACTTTTATAGAGGGCAGATAGTCGAACCGCAGTTAATAATATGGTTTCTAAAGACAAACCACTTGGATTAAAATATGCCAACAAATATGCTTCCTCTTACTTGCTGTGCTTAACCTCTCTAGGCTTATTTTTAAAAATACTTTCAGTATAGTCTAACTGCTGTAACAAATAGGCCCAAAATATCAAGTGACTGAGGACAGTAAAAGTTGATCTCTTGCTCACATAGCAATTCACTGCAGGCATCCTGTATAGTGAGTGATTCAGTAACCTAGGTTCTCCCATCATGTAGCCCTGCCTCTGCTCTGCAGATCTCTGCAATAGACAGCTGGGGGAAGCAATGAGAGAACATAGGAGATTGGATAAGTTTATATGGGCCAAGCCTACATGATGCTTTCCTTATTTTCTTCTACATCCCATTGGCCAGAATTCACATGGCCCCATCTAACTGCATGGGGAGGCTGGGAAAATAACTCAACCATATACTCAGAGAAGAGGGAAGCCAGTTTGGTTATCATTTGGCCAGTGTGCCACAGTCATTCCATTGGTTTGTTCTGAGGCTTAAATAAGGTGATTTATGTAAAGGATTTAACCAAGAATCTAGGGAGTAGTAAGGTCTAGTGAGTATAAACCATTGTTTTTAGCAGTCCCAATAGAATTCTCTGAAAATAGAGCTCAGCTCCATCCCTGAATGTCACATGTGCCCTTCTCCCAAAATAGTGCATTTTATAACTTAATCTTTTCTTAAATAAAAGAATATTAAATGGTAAGGAGTAAGCAATTTGATTATATTTCATGCCCCTGAAAGAACAAATTTGACCTTATAGCAGGTAGTATCTAGTGGTGTTTGAACTGTCGCTGTTTTATTGGGTCCTTGGGCGTTCAAGCCAGAAAACATATTTGAAAGTAACACGACAGAAAAAAGAACCAGATACTGCTAATAACAGTATTGAAACTTGTGTAGACAAGCAGCTATCTTGCCGTGGGCACAAAATCTAGAAATAGAAATGAAATGTGAAATGCATGGCCAGGCCTGCAAATATATGGGCAAGAACTGGTGAGGAGACTCATCTAGTTGGCTGAATTGTACATTTCGTGACTCTCTGCTGTGGACTTGTGAGGTGCATTTTAAGAGTCTTGTAGTGCTTAGTTCTATGTTCTTTTGCATTAGTCTGTGCCAGAGAGCGGGATGAATCACAGTGAGTCCATGTTCCTGTGGGAGCTGATGAAGGAGTAAGGAGTGTGAAGGAGAACACCACAGTGTATGTCCCCAGTCCTGAAGGAGCTAAAATACACTCTTAATAGAGGTTTTTACTCTCGGGCCTATGATGTATATGTGCATTATTCCAGGGAGAACATCTTTAATATTCATCAGGCTTGCCTTACTGGTAAAAACAGCTTAGAATAAGGCAGCTTGACTCCTTTTTAAATGTATTATAGCTTCAGGCCAGGTATGGGATAAAGAGAGCAGCTGCTGCCTCAGCCTCCTTTGGAAGCCTGTGATGTTTACCTCAGAGGAATCCTAAGCATCCATGGCCATACTCTGGCCTTTGACTTTCTGGAGACAAGGCTTTGAATCTTCTGCCAAGAAAACTGAACTTTAGCCATCAAATCCAGAGCATTTTTATGTCCTTCCATGAACATTGTCAGAGACTTAATTTGTAAAATCCATACCATTGAGATCTTAAGTAACCATATTTAATGAGCATTCCCTTGGCCTTGGCTATAACATACATTCACAAAGGTCCTGGAGTGACTAATTTTCCACTGTAGTGTCAGAAATTGGGCAATCCTGAAACCACACTTGAAGAATTGCTTTTCAACAGCATTTTTTCATTTCTTCCTCCAACAAGAAGTGTATGCCCTCTTGCTTGAAATAAGTACTAATACAGATATTAAGCGATGCCCACCATAGTTAGTGGCATAATAGTCTCTCATTTAGTAAGAATATTTTACATATGGTATTTGCTTTGTGCCTTGGAATAAAATTGGGAGGGATCCAGGAATAAGCAGAAAACAATCGTGAAAGAGGATGTAGAAAACCAGGCATTTAGACATGGGAAGGGGAGAGGGAGAGGGAGAGACGGAGGGGGAGAGGGAATTATAAGATGCCTATTTAAGTTGTCCATTGCTACATAACAAATCAAGTCCAAAACTGTGACTTAAAACAGCAGTGATTCTCTCTCTCCCCCCACCCCCGTCAATTCTGGGAGGGCTTAGGTGTGCCCATGTGGTATCAGCTGGGATCGTTTGAGACTAGAGGGTCAAGGACGGCCTTACTCTACATGTCCAGGACCTTGGTGTTGGCTGTTGGCTGGGACATCTTGATCCTCCTCCACAGAGCCTCTCTTCTCCCAGTGTGATCTCTCATTGTGCAGTAGTCAAGAGAGCAAGCAAACACAGAAGTGGCAAGGCTTATCAAGCCCTAAGCCTAGAACAGTGTGTTACGTTAGTCACTTTGACATTTTAAAAAGAGGGCCTGGGGATACGTGCTAACTAGAAAATTCAGATTATTTACTCGCTAAAATATTTTTTAAGGGAAGGAAAAGGGCTTGTATTTTAACAACTAAAGCATATAGTATTCTCTTTGCCTCCCTCCATCCCTCCTTCCCACTTCACTCTTCCCTTGTTTACTAAGGACTAACATTGGACATTCAGCTCCAAGGGTTAGAAATGAGGATGTGCCTAGGATGAGTTATGTTGTCACTGGCACATCCTATACACCCTCCAGACAGCACATGCTCTCTGTCCAGAAACATCTCCTGC